GTAATTTAAATACTTTTATTCATTGATATAGAGCAGCAATACTCTCATTGATGTTTATTGCCTAGCACGAGTGCCGGACCCAGGCGGCGGGTGAGTGCGGCGTCGTTGCCAGTTCAAACGTCGCGGCCTTGTATTAGAGGTGGCTGTGGCTCCACCCCAGTGGCTCTGGAGTTTCCCATATTAATCTTATGAGTACTCAAATATTTAAATGGAATTAAAAATCGTAACAGCTGTTTCAACTAAACAATTTGATTCTGTTATGATCATTAGCATTAAAAGGACACAAAATATACCAACAGGGTGCAGGGTGCAGCACTATTAATTGTCTAAATTTTAGAGAATTTCCCATATAGGGAATAAGCTATTACCGTAGTACTCATGGTAAGACCTGGACCCGGGAACAATTTAATATTTAATTTTAAGGTCCCTAGAGGCTAAAAACACCAACCGTTCAAATTCATACATATATTTATATAATATATATATATATTTATATTATATTTGGTATTGTTCACGTGTAGGGCTACTGTAATTAGTATTAATAAACCATAGTACCCTTTTTTTCAACAAAAAAAAATTTAAAAAAAGGGTACTATGGTATATTGTTTATTAATAATATATAGCCTATATATATATATATATATATATATATATATATTTATATATTTTTTGATGGTTCTGTTCACTTTTTTGGGCTACTTTTTTAATTAGTAAGCAAAATAATAAAAACCAGAGTACCCTGAAATTAATTTTTTATTTACACTGATACGTATTTCGGCACTAAGGCCATGATCACAGTATGAGTGTAATGAAAGTATGGAAACAATTAAAATAAATAAATAGTTAATAACATATGTTTTGAATTCATAGTAAAATTTTGATTAAATGGTTAGGTGTATTTTTTAACATGTAGATGTGTAAGACTCTTCTCTGATTTGTCTGATTTTTCATGAATTGGATTTTGTTTTTGTTTTTGCATTATATTGAGAATTTGGTCGCCGTGTTCTTTTGAATGTATGTATATTTGTAATTCTTCTTTTATATCCATTTTTTCTCTCTTTTTCTCAAAATTTAGAATTTTGACACACTCTTCTAATTTGCCATAATTATGATTATTTCCTAATATATGTTCTGCATACATTGATCGTTGAGATGTTTGATTTTTTGATTTTACGGCTTGGATGTGTTCTTTGAATCTGCATGAAAATGCTCTTCCAGTCTGACCAATGTAGAATTTGGGACAATTTAGACATTTAATTTGGTATATTCCAGATTTGTTATATTTGTCAACTGTATGTGGGTTCTTGTTTGATAGTTTATTAATTAAATTGAATGCGTTGTTTCTAGATCTATAGCTAATTTTGAATTTGGATGCTTGAAATGTTTTTCTGATTGGTTTGTTTAGTACCGAACTGTACGGAAGACAAATAAACTCCTTCTTCTCTTCTTTTTCTAAATTTTGGGTTTTCTTATTTTTCATTTTCTTGATTAATTTGTCTATTAAACTATCTTTGTATCCATTCCTTGAAGCTATGTCTTTTATAATGTATTTTTCCAAATTGTAATCATTTTCATTTAAAGGTACTCGTAACATTCTGTGTACCATAGAGTTGAAGCTTGCCATTTTATGTTGCCATGGTGCATTTGAGTCAGCAGGAATAACAAGATCTGTTTGAGTGGCTTTTCTATAAATTTTAAAATAATGTTTGTCATTGTTTTTTCCAATTGTTAAGTCAAGAAAATTGATTTCATCTTTTTGTATTTCCATTGTGAATTTTATTTTCTTATATATTCTGTTTAAATAGGATAAAAAGTCATTGCACGATTTTTCATTTCCTTTGAATAGACATAATATCAATAGAAATGGTTTAGCCCCTGAGCTGAATTGATGACTAATATAATATAAATACCTCGTCACAGCTCTGTAGTTTCTGTAGATTACAGCTGTTTCGGCATTATAATGCCATCATCAGATACACATACATCCACCTGAATTGGCGTCGTTAAACTGTACATATACACGAACACGATAAAAACACAAAAACACGTAAAACAAGAGACAGGCCTGTCGCGTACATGATTGCTACGAGTACGGAAGCTGACTGGACAACTGCTAGTTCGTTCCAGCGGTATTATCTGCTGGACTTTGATCCCTTGTCTGTGGCTTGCTCCGTTTGATAATGTTATTAAAAATGGTGTGGGATTGTAATTGATCGTTTAGTATGGGCTCATTGCTGCTTTTTATTTTATGAGCTTCATATTCTTCAAGGGTATCTAATCTATTTCCATTAATACAGGCGTGTAGAACTTCTAAGCCGTTGTCCAAATCAAACCGTTGTGAGTTCTCAAACTGCACGTACAAGATTATTCTTGAAGAAATGTTGGATAAAATCGAGCTTTCTATCACTAAAATTATGAAGTCTAAAAAGTCCACTCTCCAAAAAAAGTTTTCTAGGCTAATTAACGAACAAAAAGTGGCGCGATCAGGGCCGGATTTAGAATTTTGGCGCCCCTAGGCCCGAATAATTTTTCCGCCCCCTAGTCTGGTCACAGTTACTTTCCTACAAACCTTTATTAAAAACTATATCATGCTTATAGCATAGACCTATAATTAATTGCGTGAACACCACTCCTCGTCGGAATTTTATCATTGCAAGTTTTTTTTATGAATTGTCTTGGTTAGCCTTAACAAAATGCCGTCTTGAACACTTTTGGAAATTTTATGCTCTTAGCAAATTCTCACTCTTGTGGGACTGAAACAAAATAATCCAACCCACAGAGTATTCCTGCAAAAAAGCATGTCCATTGATTCCGATTTCAGGCCCCAAAACATTAGCTCCATAACTGTATGTAATACCATAGATTAAACAATTCTTTTTATTTGTTATTTGAACCTAGTTTGTCCAAAATAAATGATCTAATCATGAACAATAGGTCGTCCCCTGGTAATATTACAAGAAATTGAAACACACAACATAGAACTATCCCTAAAATAATAGAAACAAAATTACTTAGAATTAACAATATGATAAGAGGTCGACTTGAGTTTATGGTTAAAATATGGTGGTACTGCATCTAGATTATATTTGCAAAGCAAAACAAAACAATAGTCCGACCAACCATACCTATCCTCAGGTCTGAGCTGAGGAGAAAATTACACCAATAATGGTGTTTTGGAGGGGATTTAATTTTTCTAAAACCTGTTGCAAACTCAGGTAATTATATTTTTTGTTATTGAATTTTAAAGGTAAACTTATCGTATTTTTAATATTCAACAAAGCGTATTATATATTTTTAAAAACTGTTGATCAAAAGATTAGTTACTAAGTTTCTTTTTTGTGAGGTGAGAGTGGTAACAGTCAACAGTGTCTAACCCGCATGCGCCCCCAATCACTCCAATCAGTAGCGCCGAGCCAGCATAGTGGCAATACGATGCGTACCGATCGGGTGCTCGACAACATCCCTACAACCTACTCCCGTATAACCAATGTTTGTTACCAATGTTTTAACAAAATTGATGCGTAATGTTGAAAAATAGTTTAAATTTTCTAACACTTATTTTTCCCATTCTCTCGGCCGTGCGCCTTCTGGGAGCTTTAGCCCACAGGCCCGGGCCTACCGTGCCTATTGGGAAATCCGGTCCTGGGCGCGATCTTGTAGTCTTGTTAGTGACTAAGGCCGACATGTTTCTTAGACACAGCTGTTAATTAATAGCCCATACAGCTAATGACAACTAAGGGGCCTACAGTTTATTGTGGAATCCGAACCACATTTTTTCCTGGTAGTTAACGAATTGGTCTATTTATTAGGATAGTACTGCAGATAGTCGTAGTACTCACTAGTGCGGACGTTAATCAACACCAGGGGCATCGCATCCACAGTGCATCCCTATAACTATCCACAACTATTCAAATTTGTTTTCAAGGTTTATCGGAATAGTGTGAATTATGTTAAGTTTGGTGACGAACGTAATCCCGTGAAAAGACTCAAATTGACTCAATCCCTGTCTAGCGGGCACTTTGACGGTTTAGAGCCACAAAAAGAGCCTGTTTCTCCCAATCGTCAGCCGATTCCGGAATCTCAACAAAATACATTAAGGTGTTAACGGCGTAGCAGGTGCACAGACAAACAAAGGAAAAAGCAGGCGAAGAACGCCAAGCAAAAGGTATAAACAAACTTATCTTGAAATTCATTTGCTAAAGATTCAATGGATGGTGAAACATCTATCAACAATGACACATCATCCGAAAATAGTCTATGAAGGAGATAGCTCGGTGGCGATAGGCACCATGGCGTTCAAATAATGTAAGTACTGCGAAGCCTTAAAATGGAAAGAATAAACACCGGGCATGTACTGCAATGGTGGTAAAGTGCAGCTACAACCTTTGCAGCACCTACCTAAACCTTTATGCAGTCTGGTCATGGGCAACCATCCTGAGCATACACACTTTATGGACCGGGTGAGACATTATAATAGCTGCTTTAATATGACATCGATTGGAGCAAAACAGGTTGTAGCTGAATATTGTTGACTGAAGGCTGTTGGAACTCAAACAATAATTTATTAAAAATGTCAACCAATCTGAAAGTTTCCGTAGCGAAGCACGGGTATTCCTCTAGTATTTTACTAAAATCACACTTTTTTACCCTCCCTGTTGCAGCAAACTTAGGTAATCGTTAAACCTATAATGTCATTTAAATAGATTTAATTGAAAATCCAAACAGGTCCAGCAGGTTTGCTATGGCGGGGGTATTTTATTGTTTAAAAAATCACAGTAAGTTTATTTCGTATAATGGACATTTTTTTTTATTTGATCAAGATGGATTACTGAAGGTGTTGGATTAGAGTATAAAATAATCAACAGGTGATGTGATTTTTTCATCTCTATACATAGTAAAGTGCGTGTACCTAGAGGGTAAAGAATTGAAGAAAAATTATGTAATGCAACAAGATCCACCCACACCACCAATTGGTAATTATATAGTTAAATGGTACTCACTCATGTTGGAATTGCTTATCTTCTCTAGACCCATGTTTTTTCTCTAACAGTTCAGGCCTGTACAGTAAAATAAGAGTTAGTGAGAAAGTTTACAATGAAATAGGCATTACAAACTTAACATCTGATGAATGTGATAGCTTATTAAAAATGTATATAACTGACAAGCAAAACGGGCTGAAGATTGCATTTGTGACATAAATGTACAGGGTGTATATAAAGTCCCGCACGGGCTTAATATTTTCTAAACGACAACAGATAAATCAATAGAGAGATTTTCTTCCGACTCCTTGCGGGACGTCCCCATGATGACAGAAAATGCATAGTTCCTTGAAAAAGTAGATTTTTAGGTGTGGTGTTGATGTACCAAATCTTATTGATTTATCTGTTGTCGTTTAGAAAATATTAAGCCCGTGCGGGACTTTATATACACCCTGTATGTAACCCAAATAATGGATCCAGATATTTACAATCAGCAATTGTTAGGTTGCGGTCATACAAATAGATTGGTGGCTGAGCACTTTAAGTCGTTATCTCTTGGTAGGATGAAATTCCGTCTCAAACTTACTTTTACTTGTCTGTGACTTGGTTGATGTAAGAGGACCACCTGAAAGGATCAGTGGTACATGCTTGGGTGAAAGTTGACAGGACAAGTGGAATCTTTCATCGGCACATATAATCACTGGAAGTGTGGGAATGGAGATGATTCTCAAACTATGTATTACATATTCACATAGTCTATGAGTGTTATAAATACTGTTTTCCCAAAGGAATTGATTGGTCTGCAGAAAACAAATAAAGCAGGACTTTGATGGCTTATTGCCCTGGACTCAGCTCTGAGGAGAGAGATTTTTATGTAAGAATAAGATATATTTATTTCCATTGATCTTTATAAAAGAAAAAGGACACGTCATTTGTTACGCATAGTTACAAGGTGTATAATAAATACATGTAAATATTCTGCATACTGTTTTCGTTTTGCTAAAAATTTAGGAGGAAAGTTAACCTTATTTCAAGCAGGTTAAAACAGGTTTTTAAACTGGTTATACTATGTTATTTGACAAACAAAAAAACTTTTATAGTGTATGCCTGAAAATCATAAATGTATCTAGCTAATTCAGTTATTATAACTTAACATTAGTAGCCTACACAATCTACTACATAGACAATTACAAGTTTTTGCAAAAACACTACTCACCATTATGTTTTTTTTAATAACCAGTGCACAAATAATCTATAGTTTATTACAAGTATACAAAAAAATATTTTAAGGAGTTAAATCAATAGTACCTACAGCACTGTATCTTCAAGAAAAAGCTCATGAACAAACCTGTTTTCAACTACTTAGCCTAAATCATAAGTTCAACATCATCTGTGACAAGAATCAAGTGAGACAGAATAAGGATTTGTTATCTAAATTCATTCTGAATTATCAATCATAGTGTTCACAATATCATCACAGCTAATTTCCTATCTGTTTTAGTTAATTTAAAAAATATTTTGTCTTGTACCATGTTTGATAAATGCTTAACATCGGGTTTATATACAGATTGAAAACTGATCAAAGATATAGTTACATAAGTGGGAGAGTAAAGGTGTCGTTTTAACTGTGACCAATGAGACTGCCATTGCTGTGTTCTACCAACTGTTTCCTAATTTCTTTTATTTATCATATGACTTTGTTTACATTAATTTGTTTTTGTTTTGTTTCACTGAAAAAGCTAACTCACAATAATTTGCTACAGAATAAAGATTTGCATTAAAACATAAATCAACTTTCTTTTCATAGTACATAGCAGATGGCGACGAGGAACTTTATTTTTGAACCCTTTGATGATAATGAAGAAACATGGAACAGCTACCTAGAAAGACTAGAAATAGCTTTTGTATTCAACAAGATTTCTGAGGAAAACAAGACAATAACACTGCTACATGTTATTGGAAAGAAAACTTAAGGAACACTTAGAGATTTGTTACAACCTAAATTGCCTACGGAGTTTTCGTATAAAGAATCTAGTTTCAGTATAAAAATTAACTCAAGTAACTTAATTTTTGAAAGAGCAAAGTTTTTGAAGAGACAACAAAAAATTAATGAAACAGTTAAAGAGTTTATAGTTAGTCTCCATTCCTTGGCTAGAACCTGTGACTGGGGTTCACTTAATGATGAAATGGTGTTGATGGTGCTAATACTGGGTTTAAATGATGAGAAACTTAGTGATCGCTTGTTGCTAGATCCCGAGACGAATTTAGACAAGGCCATTACAGTAATAAGACATGCAGATAACGTAAAGAAAGAGAAGGCAGATTTATGTGATGAGAAAAGAGTTCAAATTGAAGCAACTACGTCATCGAGTTCAAACCAAAATCAAGGATATAGGTTTCGTCAAAAGAAACAAGAATACCCAGCGCAATGTATCTGGTGTGGTTATAAACCGTCCCATCCAAGAAGCACGTGTCCAGCAAAAAGCGCAACATGTAACTTATGCAAAAAGATTGGTCACTTTTCGAAGGTCTGCAGATCTAAAGCACAGGAAGTAACTGACGAAAATGAAGTAAGTGAACTTGGACCTTCAAATAATAAAGTATTCATAGGTACACTTGGGGATGGGTCAAAATGTAAGCCCTGGAAACTAGAATTAGTATTTGAGGGAAAACCACAAACATTTAAAATTGATTCAGGGGCAGATGTAACAGTAATTCCCCCTGGCATAGTTCATCCAAGTAGGATCCAGCCGACTCTAGTTGAGTTTGAGTTATGACATAAAACAGTGCATTCACTTAATTCTTAGTAAAATAGTACATGCAATGGACTACTCATTGGATCAAGAGGAACAATTCCTCAACAAGTTGAGAAATTTTGGAAGAAATTCAAGTTGGAAAATCAAGTGCTATATTTAATATCTTTAACAGCCATAAAATTTTCTATTAATATTATAAGAAACCACCTATATAACAACTATCATAATTAGGTTTAATCAAACTTGCAAAATTTAATGTAATATTATTCTTTGTTCTACAGCAGACTACAATGTGTAGTAAGATTTCAATTTTTAAAATAAATTTGAATTTATATAAACAACTCACCAAACACTTTTCACCACCACCAAACGAGGTAGCAGAAGCTTTCAAATTCCACAATAGACGTCAACAGGAAGGTGAAGACATATAGCACTTTGCAACGGAATTGAAAGGATTGTCAAGATACTGCAATTTTGGCAACTTTCTCAACACAGCATTACGAAATCAGTTCATACAAGGATTGAGAAATGAAGCTATTCAAGCCAAATTGATCAGCGAATCGGTCTCAACTATGGACAAAGCACTGGAGCTGGCAACTACACTCGAGAAAGCCTACCAGACACTGAATCAGAATGGAGCTATCAAATGGGGTGCTTATTTAAAGGACATAGAGTTGTAATACCAAAATCATTAAGAAACAAAATTCTTCAAGAACTTCATGAAGCACATATAGGTATGGTTCGGATGAAAGCTTTAGCTCGCTCCTATGTCTGGTGGAAAAATATTGACCATGATATTGAAACATTGGTTCGAAATTGCAAAAATTGTCAAGAGCATCGTAATGATCCTACCAAAGTACCTGTACATCCATGGTCTGCTCCTGAAAAACCTATGGAGAGAATTCACGTTGACTTCGCTGGACCATTTATGAACAGCTACTTTTTAATTATTGTGGATGCGTACAGTAAATGGCCAGAAGTTATTCCAATGAATTCTACAACTACAAACAAAACCATAGACTGCCTGCGAACATTCTTCAGCAATTTTGGCATTCCACCTATCTTGGTTTCAGACAACGGTCCACAATATACTTCTCAAGAATTTAAAAACTTCTTAGAACTGAATGGCATATGCCATAAACGTTCTGCTCCATATCATCCAGCTACCAATGGGCAGGTCGAAAGATATGTTCAGACCTCAAAACAATCCCTTAGGTCTATGAAAGATGAACCTGGTACCCTTAACCAAAAGGTTGCCAGATTTCTCATGGCATATAGGAGAACACCTCATGCAACTACAGGGTTAACACCTGCTCATCTTTTCATCGGCAGACCGTTGAGGTCAAGGCTTGATTTGACACTTCTTAACTCTTCAAATACTTGCACAAATGACCAGACTATCCAACAATCTTATGGGAGAAACTTTAAAGAAGGAGACTCTGTTTCTTTTAGAATCTACGGAACGCCACAAAAGTGGAGATTTGGAAGGATTCTGCAAAAACTGGGCACGTGCCACTATAATATCGAATCTGGAAATTCCACCTACAGGAGACACATTGATCAAATAAGATCGGTTGGTTCAAATTTAAGCGGTGAGAAGGACGACAGGGACTACTTTATCAATATCAAACTTCCTCTAGGGTCTACAATTCAAGATGAAGAACTTCAGGGAGCAATGTTCAACAACCATACTGAAGATGAAGCTCGCTTTAACCAACCTCTAGCTCCTCTACCAAACGGTGAAGCCTCAAACCCTGTCTTAAGAAGAAGCTCAAGGAAAAAACAACCGGTTACAAGAATGAATATGTGATTCTAAAACTTAGAGGAGAGGTGCTGTGTTCTACCAACTGTTTCCTAATTTCTTTTATTTATCATATGACTTTGTTTACATTAATTTGTTTTTGTTTTGTTTCACTGAAAAAGCTAACTCACAATAATTTGCTACAGAATAAAGATTTGCATTAAAACATAAATCAACTTTCTTTTCATAGTACATATCAGCCATTTTACACAAAGGAAATCTTTTCCATTACCTGGACAAGATATTTAAATTTACCTCAGAGTCAGTAGATCAAAAACATAAGGAAATATACAAGAAAGCTTTGGTTGAATTTAAAGCAGTCTGGGAGTTAGCTAAAGTTACTAACAAAACCATGAGCCATCTACTACAGTTCAGGGTAAAAAAACCCCAACTGAAGATACCTCTCTTAATTTATCCACACCCATGAGTACAGCATGCAGCTCCACTCCTAGTGGTCATGGTAGTCAAGAAAGCTTCAATGAAACGTTGAATATACATTAGTAGTCATGAACTAGAAAGAG